TCTGGAAGGTGGTATACTCCCTTTAACGTGAAGTAATGCGCACCTTTAACCTGCGTATGTCGCTTCTGGCCAATAAAGCGACTTAAAAGGAGGAAGCGTGCATATTATAAAACGCGGGATGGTATGTTATGCATGTGTGCATGTGTGACATGTTAGCTGTGTAGAGAAAATTTGGGACGGGGGGATGTAATTTATCTTGAGGATTTGGACATAGGACGGGCTTTCCAAATGGACCTACAATTTGTCTAGGGTTGGAGTCGTTGATTGTGAGGGGAATTACCTTTGTTTTCAAGGTTCGAGGATCCACGCAACAGATCCTCCGAATCCATAATCGAACACATAGTTTCATGTCGTGTTCAATTACTGCTCTTGTTAGTGACTAGTGTCGTTTCCTCCGTGGCTGCAGTGGGGCCGTTGACCACCAAAAACCCCCATCATCACGGCGTAGGCTGGTCCGCGGCTGGTGGTATGCCGTCATCGCCGGGCCGTGCCGCTGACCACGCCGCCCTCCACCGCGCAGGTGCGTCAACGCGCCGTGCCCGTGCGCGCCGCCGATGGCGACGACGAGCTGACCATGTCGACGACGCGCGGCGCATCCTGTCCGTGCTGGAGGGCATGTCGACGCCGGGGTGACGGACGCCCGCCGCGCGCCGCGGCGGCCGGCCCCCAGCTGCTGGACGCCAGCTTCGGCAGCCAGCGACGCGCCGGCCTGTACGGGGCGCACGGCGCCAGGTACGCTGCACACAGCCCGCCCGGTTGACGACGGCGCGCGAACTTGACGGCCGACACTGACACGCCGCTGATTGGTGTGGCACGGTGGTACACGGGCCGCCGGCAGAAACGGCCGACGATTATTGTGGCTCACTGGTATGTGCCGTAAACTGTCCTAGCGGGTTTATGGCGAGTGTGATGTTAGGTCCTATTTTTCTGTGTATCATGTTGCTTGTGATCTCGCTTCGAGTCGTCTTTGTTGACGCGTTGCGGTTACTACTATATCATAGATTCGGTTGCTTGGTGGCCAAGCAGTCGATGTGTCTTCATGCGAGGTCATCAGCATTTAGCCGCTGTTTTGTCTCGCTGTTTCGTGTGGTCTGTGGAGGACTACCCGCTGTGTCATGTTGGCTCCGCGTTAGCGGGAGACCCGCGCCGCGCCGCTGCCGTTCCGTTGGCGCCATCTGTCGGTGGGGCGCGCGCGTCAGAGGCCGGCCGCTGGTCGCCGTGCCGCTCGCCGATGTCTGACGGCGCGCGCGCGCGCGCCCTTCGCCGCAGGCTGGGCCGACCCCGTCCGGACAACCCGCCCGGGCACCGGGTGGTGTCGCCGGCCCGTGTGACGGTGGAGCCGAACCGGCGGCGCCCCGTCCGCCCGGCGGCGCCGCCCGGCCGCCGCGCAGCACGCCACGGAGGACGCTGGCCCGCCAGGTGGGACCACCGACGGCTAGCGGCGGCCCGGCACCCGCTCTCTGACAGACGAGCCGTGCGCACCGTCGCTATGCTTGCTGGACGCGAGCTCTTTCCGCTAGGGATCTGATGTCAGCAGTGCGTTTCAGTGGCGGGTTTCAACTTTTCGCATTCCTCGTCCTTTTCGGGTTAATTGGAAACGCACGTGCACTTCTATTCCAGTCACCTATCTTCCGTCTTGAAAATGTTCCTGGGATGCAGTGCATGCTGTCGGTATAATGCCCAGTTCTGGTGCCGTGCGTACCCTGTGAGAAAATCAGGCCTCTGCCTCGATTCATATCTATATTCGGCTTTCGTTACTTCATGTTGAAGTAGTTTGATGTCTTATTACCGCCAATCGACCTGCGGCTTGTGCACCATCCGAGTGACACGGCCCTCTTATGCTGCAGACGGGTGACGTTCTCTAGTCAGCCGACGCCGGTGGCGGCGCCCGCGCAGGGCGGTAAGATGCGACGTCAGAAGGAGTCGCGCCATTACTCGTCGCGTCCGGGTGCCGACCCGGGCGAGCTGCCGCCGTCGCCGGTGGCGCTGCCCGACGTCAGCTTACCGTTCACTAGCCTGCGGCCCTTCAGCCTGTCCACGTCCACACCCAAACCGCCGCCGGCCGAGCCCGTCAAACGGCCGGCCGCTGCCGCCGCCGCCGCCGTCTCCACCGACTTCATCTTCAGCAGTCCGCGGCCGGTGTGCCCGCCCGGCGCCGGCCTCGTGAACGGCCTGGCCGACGGCGCCGACGACCTGACGTTCGCGTTCAGCGTGCCGGCAACCTTGGACGCGCCGGGGCAGGTGCTGACCCCGACCGCGACCCCGACCCTGGCCGGCGCCGGCTCCTGGGGCGACAAGTTCCGCGCCGCGCCCGGCGCCTGGGAGTGCGCCGTATGCATGCTCCAGAACAAGGGCCGGCGCCGACCGATGTAATCGCCTGCCAGGCGGCCAGGACCGGCGGTGCCGGTGCCACGACGGACCCCGCCCGCCGCCACCGCCGCGCCGAGTCCGCCCGCCGCCGCCGCCAGCTCTGGGGTGACAAGTTCAAGCCGGCCGCCGGCGCGTGGACCTGTGATGTCTGTATGATCACCAACAAGCCGGACCGCGACCAAGTGCGTTCGCGTGTCAGACGCCAAACGCAGCGGCTGCCAAGCCGAGTGTAGCCAGCGCGCCGGCGCCCGAGACGTCCTCGGCGGCGCCGGCGGCCTCGTGGGGCGACAGTTCAAGCCCGTCCCCGGCGAATGGACGTGCGACACGTGCATGCTGAAAAATAACCCGGACTCGGCCAAACTGTGGTCGCCTGCGAAACTCCGAACTCCAAGGCCGCTCTGTCCAGTTCAGCCGCGGCCCCAGCACCGGCGGCGGACGAGCCATCACGCCGGCGTCGTCTTGGGGCGACAAGTTCAAACCGGTCGCCGGCGAGTGGACGTGCGACACATGCATGGTGACGAACAAGCCGGACTCCTCGAAGTGCGTCGCGTGCCAGACGCCGAACCCTAAGGCGGCGTCGGCCAACGCGAGCCCCGCCGCCGCGTCCAAGCCAGCGCAGGAGACGTGGGAATGCACGACATGTCTGGTGCGCAACAAGCCAGCCGTCTCGAAGTGCGCGGCCTGCGACTCTCCCCGGCCGGAGGCCCGCGCCCAGAACAGCGAACCGTATCAGTTCAAGTCGGCGCAACCGCCGGCCGCCGGCGCCTTCGTGTTCGGATTCGGCGACAGCCAGAAGGCGCCGACGACCAAATCGACGCCCTCGTCGGAAAGCGAGGCTTCAGGTTCGGGGTGACCCCTCCTGCCGCGCCTGCCTCTGCCGGCTTCTCGTTCGGGTTCGGCGCGCCGGCCAGCACCGGCGGCCAGGAGAGCGCCGAGGACGCGGCCCCGGCAGCCCGGCCGACACCCGCCGTCAACTTCAACGCCGGCTCTCCGGGCTCGCCCCGGCCCCTCAAGGCGCAGGTCGGCGGCCCGCGGACAGGCCGGCCGAGAAGGCGGCGCCCGAACTGAATACCGGCAGCATCATGGACGTGCTGGGCAAGAGCTCCCCGGGTCTGGGCGGGGACAAGGCGCCAACGCCGAGCACCGTCGCCGCGGAGGAACCCAAGATCAACAAAGTGCCGTCGGTGTCGCCGGCGAACGGCGTGTTCAGTTTTGGCGCGACCTCAGCCGCCAAGGATTCTGGCGCGACGACAACGTTCGCATTCGGCGCTGGATCGCAGGGGAGTAGCGGCGGCTCCGCGCCGACGCCGGGTTTCAGCTTCGGCAGCGGCACGTCGTCGGCCGATAAGTCATCGTCGGGGGCGCCGCCGGCGTCTGACAAGAGTGCGCCGGCATTCATGTTCGGTGCGAAGCGTCGGAAACCGCCGAGAAGCCGTCGGGTGGGTTCTCGTTCGGGGCGAAGACGTCTGTGGCGTCGGACAATGTCGCGGAAGGATCGCCATTCGGTGCGAAGACGGCTGCAGGAACAGACAAGTCAACCGCGGGATTCTCTTTTCGGTGCTAAACCCGCTGAGACCTGCGCCAATGTCGCTGATGGGGTGCCCGGCGGTATGAAGCCGTCAGCAAGCGTAGACCAAAATTCCGGAGGGTTTGTGTTGGGAGCAAAAGTGTCTGATAGCTCAGTTAAACACACCGACATCTTTTCTGCGAGCGCGAACCCTTCCGCGACCGTTGAAAAGCCTACCGGATCATTTTCGTTCGGAGCGAAGGCCCCTGAAGGCTCGGAAAAACCCCCTGGTCTGTTGTCGTTCGGCGACGCGTCGGGAAAATCAGGCAACCCGGCGGCGACGTTCTCCTTCGGCAGTTCTTCCACACCGGCCGCGAAGCCGGCCAAAGGTTTCTCCTTCGGCGTCGGCACAACGGCGGCGAGCACAGCTGCTGCGCCCTCCGGCGGCTTCGCGTTCAGCACCGCGGCCGCCGGCGCCGCCAGCTCCGCGGGATTCCCGGCGGCGCCGCCGTCTGTGCCAGCCGGCGGCTTCGCGTTCGGCGGCGGCGACCACTAACAAGACAGAGTCGAGCGCTCTGTTCACGTTCGGTGCCACCAGCGTGAACGGGCCCTCGGCTAAGAAGGCGGCCACTGCAGACGGCGCGCCGGCGTCGGCCGTGTTTCAGTTCGGCTCCGGCCCGGCCGCCGCCGGCACCGCCGCCGCCAGCCCGTTCGCCCCTGGCGGCGCCGCGCCGGCGGCCGCTCCCGCCGCGCCGTTCGTTTTCGGCGCCAAGGCGCCGGCCGAACCGGGGACGTTCTCATTTGGCGCTCCGGCGGCTGCAGCCACCACGTCGGCGCCGGGCGTGTTCACTTTCGGCACGCAGCCGGCGACGGCCGCCAATAAGGCGTCGGGAGCGTTCGCGTTCGGGGCGCCGTCGGCGGCCCCGTCCACGTCCGGCGTGTTCGCGTTCGGCGCGGGTTCGACCGCTCCGGCGGCGGCGGCGGCGGCGGGCCCGTTCAGTTCAGCGCCGACCCCGGCGGCGACGGTGGCAGCCCCGCCATTCGGCAGCGCGCCCGCGTTCGGTCAGGCGGCGGCGCCGGTGGCGCCGTCGGCCGGCGTCGCGTTTGGCGCCGGAGCGGGCGCCGCCCCGGTCTTCAACTTCGGCAGCGGACAGCAGCAGCCGCCGCAGCAGGAGGCGTCGGCCGCCGCGTCCGCTACACCTGGCGTCTTCCGCTTCGGAACGGTGAGCAGCTGCGTCGGAGACCGGTTCGTCCCCGCCTGCGGCTCTGGTCGTGCTTTGTGGTTGGTGTTATTCAGATTTATTTTATTTTTCGGTAGCCCGTCGTATGGGCGCCATGTGACCATTGAAGTCGGTGCGTCCAAAGCCGAAATCAACGTCATCATGATGTTGTCCAAAGAATGCCATCGACATTATGGAGGCCGTATGGCAGCAGTGTCACTGTGGCGTGCTGACCATGCGTCTTCCGTCGACAGCCGTCAGCTGCGCCTGCCGGGCCAGCTGCGCCGGCATTCGGAGCGACGAACCCCGCACAGTGAGTGAACTTTTCTGTTGTGGGCTGTGTGTGCTGGCAACGGGGTGTGTGCGTGGTGATCATTTGCCTTTCGAACGCCACCATATTACCCCACTTCATCGTGATATTTTATGATCACTTGGTACGCAAGTTTGTGTTTTATTCTGTTGGTCATGCCGTTGTCCCTTGTACTCAGTAACCGGGCAGTAGAGCGTTGGCCGTGCGGTCTCTCAGCGCACCCTCTGTCCCCAGGGCGGCCAACCCATTCGTGGTGTCGGGTACCGGCGTCCCGGCCGGCCGGCGGATCCGGACTGCCAAGCGGCGCACGAAAAAGTGATGCCGCGGCGGGGCTGGCCGTGCGATTGCGTGTGAGTGAGAGTGGAGCGAGCGAGCGAGCCGGACGGCCGATCGGACCGGGCCGCGGCAGAGAGGGCCGCGCCGGCGCCACGCGTACAAATACCAGTCATTCCGCGCGCGCGCCGCCGTGCGGGCCACCAGTGCCGGACGGACGCCCGGCCGGCCGGCGTCCGGGGGGCGCTGACTACACCAAGGGCCTGGCGACGCAGTCTCCCCGCAATCGTTCACGCGCATTTGTCGCCGAGCTTGTTTAGCCCCCTCCCGTTAATGAGAGCAGCTTCTGAACTGCCACGCCATCTGTGATAAGGTTCTGTGATCTGCCAGGCCCTTGGGTTTTTAGCGTGACAAGTGAGCTGGTGTGCGTGCCGAGGACGTGCTGTCCGTGGGAGGCCTCTGCCGATGGTCGCCCGCGTGCGCAGCGTATTGTAATCTTCCGACGAGCCCGCCGTGCGGTGCTGGAGCGACTGGGTTGCGCTGTCTCCGTGTCAAATTGAACTGCTGGGATTACGCGATTAATACCGTTTTCAGTGTGAAATTGTGTACGAATGTGATGACTCGGACTGCTCCCATTGTATTTTTATGTCTGTTCAACCAGTTCAAACTTGTACGTATCGCAACGACGGTGTTAAGATGATTGTTTGTCGCCAGTTACTGGGTGAGACTATTCAGACAAATAAATTGAGACTGAGACTGACAAAGATTTTGAAGCTCGGTTTTTTCCGTGATCGGCTTAAGCATCCCCAGTCGCATGAGTTCTTTCGCCTTGCTTGACCGCGAAGGAAGACCGCCCTCCTGTAAGGCCGCCTTGTTTGCCTTCTTATGCTAATGACGCCTTGGTTATCTCTAGGAAAGCACAGGTTTGCTTTCCGATGTGGCCGTGCGTATTGAGAGGCTTTCGCGGTCCCACGTAAGCGGCGTCACGTCGTTACCTTCTCCGAAAGTTTGTTTTGTTTTTGTAGTTGTAGTTGACAAAGCCCGCATTTATCTGGCTTGTCAGGCTGTGTTCAGTCTTAATTTGACCCCGGTCGTCGGGGTCGCCGTGCATGCGGCCATCCACGAGTCGAGCATGTCGACCAAATGTGGACCTAGGGTCATGTGGACATGTGACCGTGTAGGTATGTGACCACGTGGGCCAACACGCGCGAAGTATGAAAGTCGAAGCGTATTTGGCCCGTCGGTGGACATTGGGGCCCCGTATTGAAAGTTTAGGGGAGTCCAGATGGCTCGAAATGCGCAGCAGCCTTCTGCAAGTCGCATGGCTCGCACTAATAACGCATTGAGGAACATTGAGGAATGCATGCAGGATTTGATGTCAGAACACTGGCTTCCGTAATCGGCACGTTGACATTGTCGAGATGCCAATGTTCGGCCAATGGCAATGACGATGGAAGTAATCAACTGTGAATTTAGGTCAGGCCCCGGATCTCAGCGGAGTCCGTGGACTCCTAAATCTACCTGAACCTCTACATCGACCAATCCTCCAGTGTCTCCATGGTCACGCCACTCGGACCGGGCTGACCGGACGGACGTATTTCGTACCCTCAGCACGCATGCATGCTTGTGAGATTCTGTGTGCCAGGCGCTGAGCGCCAGACTCGTGCTTGATCCGACTTGGGCAAGATCAGGCACCAGACTCGTGCTTGATCCGACTTGGGCAGGATCAGGCGCTAGACTCGTGCTTGATCTGACTTGGGCAGGATCAGGTGCCAGACTCGTGCTTGATCAGACTTGGGCAGGATCAAGCGCCAGACTCATGCTCGATCCGACTTGGACAGGATCAGGCGCCAGACTGCTTCGATCAGACCTGGGCAGGATCAGGCGGCAGACTCGTGCTCGATCCGACTTGGGCAGGATCAGGCGCCAGACTTATGTTCAATCCGACTTGGGCAGAATCAGGCACCAGACTCATGCTCGATCCAACTTGGGCAGGATCAGGCGCGATTGAGTCCGATTTCGATTCGATTCCGAATCCGAGGCAAAACGAATGGGCCCGAATCCGAATAAAGTTCAAATCAACTTGGAAGTTGGATTTGAATCCGAATTGCTGACGAAGTTGATCCTTTTTAAAATTTGATTCCGAATCCGTGCCCTAGTTTTATTGCTGAAAACAAGGTAGGTGTCACGTTATCATGCAGGCACATATGCAAATGGAACCCGTGACGGAGCATAGATGCGCTTCCACGGATAGGGCCGTGCTCCGACTGATTGCGGTGGACGGAACAACACAGCACGGTTAGCGAGAACCAAAATGAAGCAATGTCTTGGTACCCACGATTGGTACGCGGTAGTGAAGCACGCAAATGAACGAGTTAGCTAGTGGACCAGTTAACAATATGGACAATATGAACAAGTTAACCTGTTTTCCAAATTCGATATATTGTGGTCTCGGCACCCACCGACCCTCCATCCTTACTCCTGCATCAGCATCAACTGGGCAAATAATTCATAAATTCCGCAGTGCAATTTACGTTCAAGTACTTACTGGGTAGCAACCTTGCAGGGTCACGCCACCGCGCAATCACCCCCAGAGCTTTGTCGTTGAACTATCCTGGAACCAGTTACTTTCAAGCGGAATCAGACCCATCCTGCTTCGGTCGCAAACTGTGAATCGATTCTGAATCTGGTCCAGCCGAGCAGCCAATGGGGCCAAATCCGCCTGGCCAAAGCGGAAATCGGTCATCGGATCGGATTCCGCTGGAGTTCAGCACAAGTCCGCGTGGTAAACAGACACCGACTTCTGCACACGCCGCGCCGCCGTCCTCTGCCGCTTCCCAAGCCGCGCCTCGGCCCGATGTGACTTCAGGCTGCGGCCCTACGAGGGCTCCCGAGCCTCGTGTCGACTCGATATGTGGCTGAATACCAAAGCCCTTCGAGCACTTCCCGGGTCGCGTCTCGACCCGAGGTGAGTGATTGAAGATTAAGGCCCAGCGAGCGCTACCGAGCCGTGTCTCGGCCCGATGTGTGACTTCGGACCAGGCCTCTACGAGCGTTCCCGAGCCGTGTCTCGGCCGATGTGTGACTTCGGACCAGGCCCCTACGAGCGCTCCCGAGCCGCGTCTCGGCCCGATGTGTGACTTCGGACCAGGCCCCTACAAGCGCTCCCAGTATGGAGCGCTGTGCGTTGCCTCCCGCGCCTGCCCCCTGCCCGGACGCGGACGCTACGGCGGAACAACCAGCGTTCGCGGCGCGGACACTCAGTGTGATCATTCCGCCAGGGTTCCGTGTGATCGTCCGCCAAGGTTCCGTTAATCGTCCGCCAAGGTTCCGTGTGATCGTCCGCCAAGGTTCCGTGTGATCGTCCTCCATGATTCCCGGCGATGATCGTCAACCAGGGTTCCGTGATTGTCCGTCAGGATTCCGTGTGATCGTCCGCCAGGATTCCGTGTGACTATCCGCCAGGATTCCGTGTGATCGTCCGCCAGGGTTCCGTGTGATCGTCCGCCAGGATTCCGTGTGATCGTCCGCCAGGATTCCGTGTGATCGTCCGTCAGGATTCCGTGTGATCGTCCGCCAGGGTTCCGTGTGATCATCCACCAGGATTCCGTGTGATCGTCCGTCAGGATTCCGTGTGACTGTCCGCCAGGGTTCCGTGTGATCGTCCGCCAGGATTCCGCGTGAGCGTCCGCCAGGATTCCACGCGATCGTCCGCCAGGGTTCCGTGTAATCGTCCTCCAGGATTCCGTGTGATCGTCCGCCAGGATTCCGTGTGATCATCCGCCATGGTTCCCTGTGATCATCCGCCAGGGTTCCGTGTGATCATCCGCCAGGATTCCGTGTGCTTGTCCGCCAGGATCGTGTCAGGGCTGCACGAAGTCAAGCTCGCTGCCGGCGCACGTGGGGATTCAAGATTCTCTGGTCATGCAGTAACTCGTCTACCGTCCAGACGAACCATCGGCTCACCTACTCTCAGCGCCTGGGCCTGGAGACGGGAGACAGACCAAACCTCGTCTGAGCGATCTCTATTAATATTGGGGAGCTCCACCGGCCAGCCAGCCAACACTTCAGGCACGGCTGACAACCGGAGTCAAGACTTAAATTAATCGAGAACGCAAGATCTACTTGTAACAAAGTATTAAAAGAAGTTACAAGGCAGACGATTCCTAAGACTAGTACAAAGTAAGAGCAGTACTGACAGTGTATCACAACCATGCTTTACAATGGCTTCTTCTTGATCAGTATGTCCTTGATGTTGAAGTTGACCTTGGGCCGATGTTCGCGGCTGACCTGCGGTCCGTCCAGGCAGAACCGCTTGAACGCCTCTACCTCCTTATCGACCAGATCGGTAATGGTGTCGCCGCCGGCCGCCGGCATGAACACAGACTCGTAGTCGTCCACAGAGCGTGCGGCGCGCCGGCCCGGCCCGCTGCCCGCCACCTTCCGGATCGTCACCTCAGGCACGGCCGGCGCCTCGTCAGCCGCCGCCGGCGCCGCCTTCTTCTTGCGCTTCTTCTTGGCCTTCTTGTCGGCGGCCGGCGCGGCGGCCGGCGGCGGCGAGAGCCGGCCGGAGTCGGCCGGCGGCTCGGCGCCACCGCGCACCCTGCTGATGGTGATGCCGGCCGGGATGCGGTAGGCGCGCGCCAGGTCCTCCATCTCGCTGTCCGACGACGACAGCGCCAGGTCCTGCATGAGCTGAGTGGGCGGCTCGAGCCGATGGTCGGCGGTCGCCTTGCGGCGGCGCGGCTCGGCCGCCGGCTGCGGCTCGCCCGCGCCCCTCTCCGCCGCCGCTGCCGCCTTCTTGGAGAGCCGCGTCGCGGCCTGCTGCTTCCTGGTCTCGGGCTCGGGCTGACAGCGCGCAGCCGGCGCCGTCGGCCGCTCAGCGCCGCCGGCCTTCTTCTGCGGCAGCGGCCGCCACTTGTCGGCGTCCTTGCCGTTCAGCAGGATCGGCGACGCCCTCTTGGCGGGCTGGGCCGGTTTCTCGGCAGTCTGGGCACCGTTGGTGGCGCCGACCTTCTTCTTCTTCTTCTTGCCTTTGGCCTGCTGCAGCTGCTGGAGTCGCTGCTGCCTCCTGCTCGGCCGCCCACGCCGCCGCCAGCCGTGCCCGCTCGGCCGCCTCCTCCTCTTCCTTTAGCTTCTGCAGGCGCGCCGCCTTCTTCAGCTTCTTCTTGGCCGTCTTCGTCATGACCGGCTCGGCGGCGGCCGGCTCGGCGCCGCCGTTCTTCAGCTGGCCGTTGACCAGCGTCATGAGCACGCGGTCCTTCTCCGGCGAGTCGCCCTTGAGCGTGATGGTCACCTTGGGCTCCTTGCCGCCCGGCTCCATCACCCGTCGGATGGTGACCATGCGTGCGTCGCCCACGCCGCCGGCGCACGGCACCGACACCAGCCCGTTACGCGCCAGACCCTCCATGATCGGCGACGACTTCTTGGGTGAGCTGTCGCCGGTGGGCGGCGCCGCCGCTCCGCTCGGCGGCTCGCTGGGGACGGCTGCAGACGCGGGGACGGCGGCGGCGGCGGCGGAGGGGGAGGAAGCGGCGGCGGAGGAGGAGGCGGCGACGCCAGCGGACGTGGTAGAGGCTGCGGCCGGCGGCCGCGGCGTCTTGCGCGCGGGGCTGGCGGCGGGCGGCGGCGAGTGCGACTCGGCGGCCGCCTGGTCCGCCTCGCCGGCCGACTTCACCACGGTGATGGTCACCTCCGGGTTGCGACGCTGGAACTCCTGAATGTTGCGCATCTGCTCTTGCTCCACCTCCTGTGCCGCGCACGCGTCCATCCGACGCACGCGCTGCCGCTCGCGCTTGGCGGCGCGCTTCTCGTTGCGTTTCTGCGCGGCAACCGCTGGCTTCGATGAACTCGAGCAAGTCGCCCAGGTCGCGGTGGTCCTCGTGTGCCGACGTCTCGCCGCCGCTGCGCTCCGACGACTCGGACTTGTTGTCGCGCCGCCGCTGGTCGAGCCGCAGCCGGAGCCGATCGCGGATCTCCGGGTAGTTGCGGCTGACGGGCGCCACCGGCGACACGCCGTGGCCGAACACCTCACAGTAGCAGCAGCTGCAGTGCTGCGACGCCGTCGACGACGACTGCTCGGAGCACGAGTCGTTTTGGCTGCTGTCCTCGGCCGGCTCCAGCGCCGGATCAAACTTGGGCTGCGGCCGGTGCGTGGTGGGCGCCGCCTTCGAGTAGGTGTGCTTGTGCGCCGCGCCAGCCGCCTGGCAGCTGGTCGGCGCTTGGCAGGCGGCGCCAGGCGGAGGCGCCTGCGTGCCGGCCGACTTCTTCTGGCAGGCGGGCTTGGCGCTGCCGGCGGCCGGCGGCCGACCGACGCCGTCGCCGCCGTCGGCCGCCTCGGCAGAGCGGGACGCCGTCTCCAGCGCCTGGCGCAGCTCCTGCAGGCCGCTGGCGCGCGGCCGGCCCGGCTCGACCGCCGCCGCCTCCGCCGGCAGCGCCAGCGCGCACTCGTCGCAGCCTTCCTCCGAGCATCCTGCCACCAGCCGCTGCAGCGCCTCCTCCTCCTCCTCCGGAGAGACGCCGTCGCGGCCCAGCACTTGCTGCTGCAGCAGCTTACGCTGCGCTCGCAGCAGCTCCCAGTCCTCGCGCAGCATGCGCTGTTTGGCCTTGAGCGTGGCCTGTTCCTGGCCGAACTCCTGGAGGCGCGCCTCGGCCGCCGTCCACTGGGCGGCCACTGTGCTCATCTCGTCGTCGAAGCTCAGGTAGCGGCGCACCAGGTCGGCGTACACCCGCTGCTGCTCCTGGCCCGACAGCAGGGCGCGAAGCTGAGAGATGAACGTCGGCAGGTTGTTCTGCACCATCGGGTCCATGTACACCACGGACTGGTACGCGTGCTTGTTGAGCGACTCCCACGACAGGCCGAACCTGCAACACGCCGGTCCTGGGTCAGAGCAAAGCGGGCAGGAAGCCGACCTTAAAAATACACCGGCCCACGCCCAAAACAGCGGAAAAACGGAGCCAGCATCGCCGTCGTTCAGACTTTTCACTCGCCTCGAATAATTACATCGACAAGTGAAATAAATGAACTTACACAAGTAAAAATGAACACTCACGAGTGAGCACTTATGTGAAAATCATGGAATCCAAAGCATACCAACTGGCACGCAGGCTCACTGATGTCCAAGGTTTCTTGATCGTGGCTGGAAGTAGCAACCCAACACAAGTTTTACGACGCACCACTAACAAAGCGCGCCATGTGACACAACATCGCCCCAGGACATAACTGTGTCTGTGCAATAATACTGGGAGACGCGTCCGCGTGTGTGCTTACGGGCAAGGGACGCAACTGCTAGATATCGTAAGTGCTAGGACCGACGTCATACTGATACGTTACGGAAACACGTTACGCAACTGAAGTCACATCACTTCGTATCAGCCTCAAATCTACGGAGTCCACACCCCGCAAGGCGGACCCTATGCTCGCCCTGCATAGTTCTGGCTACGTTACTACAGTGCAGCATCTGACGCAGGACGTCGACTACATTAGGCTTGAGCGGTTGATGTGTTCCGACCTGATAGGCATTGGAGCTTCGACTTCCGCGTGCTCCACCGCGTGGACAGTCCGTTGCCCTGACCTAAAGAGCCGGTGGTGCTCTGGGGTTCTGGGCACGACCAAGACCTGGAGAGTTGGTAGCGCTCTCGCATACGTACCACGTTGACTCTGGGGGGGGGGGGGGGGGGGGGGGGGGGCACTTTAAGCTTGTGGACTTTGGTTTGATCTGGAGAGGTAATGGTGCTGCGGCGTGTTAACGTTGTGACCTTGACATAGCTGGGTGGTAATATTTTTGTGTGAACTGTATTCTGACCTGAAGAGATGGTGGTCCCCCAGCATGTGACCTGTGTCCTGACCTGGAGAGATGGTGGTGTTCAAGCACGTGGTCCATGTTCTGACCTGGAGAGGTGGTGGTGTTCCAGGGCATGGCCTGTGTTCTGACCTGGACAGGTGGTGGTGCTCCAGGGTGTGGCCTGTGCTCTGACCTGGACAGGTGGTGGTTCTCCAGGGCGTGGCCTGTGCCCTGACCTGGAGAGGTGGTGGTGTTCAAGGGCATGGGCTGTGCTCTGACCTGAACAGGTGGTGGTGCTCTGGGGCATGGCCCCTGTTCTGACCTGGAGAGGTGGTGGTGCTCCAGCATGTGGCCTGTGTTCTGACCTGGAGAGGTGGTGGTGCTCCAGGGTGTGGACGGCCGGCGCCAGGCTGACAGCGGCCGTCACTAGCCGATCGTAGTTGTCCAGCAGGGCGGTGAGGAAGAGCTGGGCCAGGCCGGGCCGCTCGCGACTCAGGTGCTCTAGCAGGCGCACCTTCACCTCCAACGTCAGCTCCTGCAGCTGGCCTTGCAAGCGCTGGAACAGCTGATGTGGGTCCCGCTGGCACAGCCGCACCACCTGGCGGCGCAAGCGCAGACAGGGTCATCTCAGCTGGCGGTCACGCATCGATCCCGCTGATGCGACCGCTACCACCACGGCACCAGATACGCGCTAGGCTGCCGACGCCTGGTAGCCGTCGGGACAGAGCGCGCAGTGCTGTACCAGTTAGACGAAAACGGAAGCAGGGGGCGTGCAGCACCACAAACCAGCGATTTGACAGTTATGGGTCGTCGCCCGGTCTTTAACAGCGAAGAAATCGGAGCCTTCGGAAACGAATCATTAGAAACCAACCGTACGGATCACGACCTTCAACTCGTTGCGTGGTGCAGCTGTGACCCCCTGATTGTCTTTGTCGTATGATGCGCCACGCTATGCGCGTGCACAATGCGGCGATTCGACTCGGAGCCAGCTCTGCTCTGGCAGCCGAGCAGGCCGGAGGCCAGGCTCCATCATGCTGACCTTATCCTTCATGACCGCGTGTATGGGCGCGGCCGCCTGCCGGGCCGGCCCGTCGCCGGCCGACGCCGCATCCATGTGCAGCCAGTACAGCTGTTTCAGGTTCTGGCGCAGCTCGATCCAGTCGGTGTGCAGCTGGCGCAGCTCCTCCTGCTGCTGCTGCTGGCCGGCCTCCGCCTCGCCGGCCACCAGCTTCTGCCGGACACACGGCAACACCGGCTGAGGGTAGACACAGACACACCGGCTGACACAACTGCCCAAGAACAACACAACATGATACTACACACTACAACACAACGCACACACGCACGCACGCACGCACGCACGCACACGCACACACACCACACGCACAACACACACACACACACACACACACACACACACACACACCACACACACACACACACACACACACACACACACACACACACACACGCGCACACACACACACACACACTGACCGCTACGGACATACTGGCTGACGGCACCACGGACTACCAGCGCCCGAAACACTTCTCAGAAAACACGTGGCGCCCAAAACACAGCACGCAGTGTGGGATATGGTGCAGGAGCACACCCATCTCACATCCCGCACCAAACGGCGTCAATTTGTCCACACTTCCCAGGGCCCAGGCATGGGGCGCACGCATCTGGGCCTCACCGGACAGGGAGGCTTGCCGAGACGACACGCGGCTGCCGCCGACCGTGGCCCGGGCCGAGGCGGCCGGCAGCCGGCCGGGCCGGCAGCGCTCACCTTCTCCTTGCAGGGGGCGCAGTTGCAGGCCGGATCCTCATCGCCGCGCACGGCGCACGTGTGGCCGGCGCCCAGCGTCTCGCCGTTCAGCGGCTTCGTTCCAGCGGCGCCTGACCGGCAGCGGGCGCTCGTGAGGCGGGGTGCGCGCGAGCGCCGCCGACAGAGCGGACAGAGCGGGACAAGGAAGGACAGGACAGGATCAGACAAGGCAGGGCAGGACAGGACAGGACACGATCAAAGAAGGGTAGGGCAGGACAGGACAGGACAGGACAGGACAGGGACAGGACAGGACAGGACAGGACAGGACAGGACAGGAAGGGACAGGGCAGGACAGGACAGGACAGGACAGGACAGGACAGGACAGGACAGGACACGATCAAAGAAGGTAGGGCAGGACAGGACAGGACAGGACAGGACAGGACAGGACAGGACAAGGACAGGGCAGGGCAGGGCAGGGCAGGGCAGGCAGGGCAGGGCAGGGCGGGGCAGGGCAGGACAAGAGGCAGAATGGGGCGGGACAGCTCAAGACATGAACAACATGACCCAGTTCACGTATCTCGGTCGCTAGAGCGCTGGACAGCTGACCACAAGGGTGGCAGGCTATGAGAGTTTGCGTCCAAGAAACCGCGCTAAATTATTCTACTCGCACGAGACGGCGAACTGACAACAGCTATGAGATCAGGTTGGGGTAAAGGGGCCGTGTCATAACATCGTACAGAACATGAAATCTTCACTTCAAAATTACCGGTTACACTGGATAACTCGGCTACAGTGATGCAGTAAAGTTAATGAGACCCAGCTACGCTTAGCAACGACTGGGCCCGACATCCGGTCGGATCAGACAGTCGACGCGCCCTTAAACCCCGGCATCACCATCATACACAAACAAACGACTACGTTAACAACATGCCACGTCCCGCATTTGTACGCAGTTTTGAACCGAACTGACCGTATTAAAACTCATTCGGTGCAGTCCACGGCCCTGCCCTTCTGATGACCTTAAGCCCTCTAGTTTTTTAGCTACACGCTCGCAAAAATGTGTCGACTTTTTCAAAGGCACCTAGGCATCCATAACGCCATGATAACGCCATTAAAATCCTTCCATTCCATAAGCCATGTGGCAATCAAGGCAAAACAAATACAATTGTCGAGTCGTTCATATCTAGCGTTCGTGAGTACAAAATTTCCAAACGCAAGGGTCATCAATTGGCTCGCAATCCATGTTGGGCTAGGCGCGATGACGTAAACACACATTGACGCATTGATGAGCATATTTATCAAGCAGAGAGCCTGTGTTGTCTAGAGAAGTTTTATCCACTTGGGAAATGCCAATAATTATAAGTGAGCTTAATTCACCATATGTATTGCTTACTACAATACCTTCAACGTGGAACATTCCCTTTATGTCCAGCTTGAACAGAGCGGACCGAACCCTTTGAAGCGAAACGCGCAGCACTGAATCAGAATAAGGCAGCCAGGACAGGGCACGAGGGGGCGGGAACAACCACGTACAACAGAACCACACTACATCCCACCCGGCAACATTGTAGAACCCCGCCACATCGAGACCTGGCGGCGCTCCCCCTACCAGCAGCAGGATTCTATTGTTTTACAGCTTGGACTCCAGAATCATCGGTTTTTTTGCCTCCCTAAACACCACTTTCGCCCCGCTGAGCACTGCCTAACTCCAAATTTACAAAGAAACGCCCGTCCACAGCCTGAGGCCTGGGGCAAGCCCTGGTGGGTCCCCTGAAACTTGCCGATGATGCACTTAACAGTCAGGTGGTGACGGATCGCAACACGAATTTTCGTTCTCCCATCTTTCAGCTAATTGAATAATTCTCGGTCCACATTACTGAGGTTGTCTTACGTGTTTGACCCTCTTTGACCTCTTCCTGTCCGTTGGTTGCCTACCTAGTTTTCTCCCATTAAACTCTCCGTTAGACTACTGTTCCATTTCAATCCTTTCAACTTCCTGACGTTTCATTGTCTTCATTCCCTTTTTCTGCAAACTTTTCGCCCTTTCAGTTCAATATCTCTAGCTTGATCTTCCTTGCAGTTTCTCCATTTAAGCTTTCTGTTCATGTCATTTTCATAATTTGATTTGTATTCCCATAACTTCGACACGTTTCACCAAACATATTGTTTTTGAGCTCCCCTACATTGGGACCTTTCCAGCTGTTTTTTGCCCACAAACTCGTAAATTACACCCATCGTAACATAACAAAATACCGACCATTCTCCACAAGACACAATAAGAAACCGGATCTATAGACGACCAGCAAATGCCAGTGAGCGGCACGGCTGGCAGGCAGACTACATTGGCCGCCCGCTGTCCGACCCCGTCAGAGCCGCGCTCAGCAACGCTCAGCGGCGCTCAGCGACGCTCAGCGACGCTCAGTGGCACTCAGCGGCGCTCAGTGGCGCTCAGCGGCGCTCAGTGGCGCTCAGTGGCACTCAGCGACGCTCAGCGGCGCTCAGTGGCACTCAGCGGCGCTCAGCGGCGCTCAGTGGCGTTCGGCGGCACTCGGCGGTGCTCAGTGGCGCTCAGTGGCGCTCGGCGGCGCCCAGCGGCGCTCAGCGGCGCTCAGCGGCGCTCAGTGGCACTCAGCGACGCTCAGTGGCGCTCAGTGGCACTCAGCGGCGCTCAGCGGCACTCAGCGGCGCTCAGCGGCACTCAGCGGCGCTCAGCGGCGCTCAGTGGCACTCAGCGACGCTCAGCGGCGCTCAGCGACGGTCAGTGGCACTCAGTGGCGCTCAGTGGCGCTCATCCGCGCTCAGCGACGCTCAGTGGCACTCAGCGGCGCTTAGTGGCGCTCACTGGTACTCAGCGGCGCTCAGCGGCGCTCAGTGGCGCTCGGCGGCGCCCAGCGGCGCTCAGCCGCGCTCGGCGGCGTTCGGCGGTCTCACCCATGTCAGGAGGAGCCGAGGCCCGGGCGTGCGGTAGCTGCGGTTCAGAAATGGCGGCGGCGTGGTATCCACGAAAACTGTACGCGGCGCTACTCACAGAGCACGACACCTCCGCACTCATCACCTGGAGAACACAGGCACGGTGACATGGTGAGAAACAAGCGAACACGCGCCCCCGCGCTCACCCCTCAGAAAATAGGCACAGACACGTTGAAAAACAAGACGACACGGCGCCTCCGCGCTCGCTCCCTGGGAAACTGGGCGCAGGCACGGTGAGAAACAAGAAGACAAGGCGCCTCCGCGCTCAATCGCTGGATAACTGGGCGCAGACACGGTGAGAAACAAGCAGCCACGGCATCTCCGCGCTCGGCCCTTGGGGCATGACTGGACGTGGACACCGCGAGAAACAAAAAGACACGAAGTCTGCGTGCCCCCCCCCCCCCCCCCCGGGGAACGGGGCGCGGACACAGTGAGAAACTAGCGGACACAAGACTCCGCGCTAACCCCGTGGGAAATGGGGTGCGGCCACGGTGCGAACTAGCGAACACACGCCTTCACGCTCACCTCCTGGGGAACGGGACGCGGACACGGGGAGAAACAAGCAGACACGCGCCGTGTCTGCTCCGCGCTCCGCACTCACTCCCTGGGGAGCGGGACATGGCACACAGTGAACTGCAGACGAGCACTGCGCCGGTACTCTCGGCACCGTGGGAACGTGCCCTGCTCATATCAGGTGTGTGGAAGGTACCACCGACAGCCATTGTGCTGTGGCCTTGAGGAACGAGAATAATCCCTGCACATGTACAGGGTTACGCACATACAGGCGAATCATGGAAGCACTGGATGCTCATATACTGATGAACCACAAGGAACAAATCACAGATGCCAATAAAACAGATTAACTTGGTGGATGATGACAATGATTTGGAGCTTTAGGGTGTGTTTGACTGCAAGTGGTCACATATTCATAATGTGGTCACATGGCCATGCACTGACTAAGTGAAAGGTCTTACTGAATGCATCAAGAGGTACATTTTTGTACATTTTCAGATGCCCCCAACCCCAAACCATGGTTTTTGTGTAAAATATTGTGCATTCACCTGCATCTAGCTTTTCTAGACCAGTGGTCTGCCAATCAAAGGTTCTCGCAAAGCATTTCATTAATTGCACTGATAGCATCACAATTAATGTAACCCTTGGTTTAATTAATGAGGAAGGTAGGTGCAGATTTGCCAATAGGTGGCAGCACACATACATAAATCTCAAGCCATAGGCAGCATTGCTGGATTTAGTTTGTCAGTTGAGATCATTGTCTTGCACAATGCAACAAAACATGATGCAATACACTATCAAATGTACCTAAAATTATGGCACATGACAAAATTATGGTGCAAGTGCCATCACTGCCTTTTCATGAGCCCTACAAGGTGCATTAATTTTTATGTCTGCTTGATGATATCCTCTCAAATCATGTGACATGTTGCATTGTGATTAGCATAGTTAAATCATTCCCTAACAAGGCTGGAAAACTGGATTAACTGCTTCAGCCAAACAGTGCATTTTCAAAAAGAAAACTTGATACCAAATTACTTGAGAATGAGGGTCTATGCAAAAGACAGACCAAGTACAGTGGATCTCATACCCAGCATAAGTAAGTGGTATTGGGCTTGAAACTCCAAGATGCCAGACCTTGTGCAAAAAGCAAATTATTGATAAAAAGAATGAATATGTGTGGAACTTAACAGATGAACATCAATTAAAGGTTGTATGACTGCATTCATCCACCCATAGCCAGTTCAGTGTCCTGAGGTGCTTACATTGAAATGAAAAAGGCATAACAATATCATACAGCTTAAAGTTTCATAGCAGAGCTAAGTACATTTACCATTCTGGAGCTCCATACATTTATCATTTTTTTGATGCACTACTTTTTTACTTTAAACAAATCTTAATGCCATATTTCTTATGGATATACAGTCACTGCTATACTCTGGTAATCTACTATTATACTTAGGCACAGTTCTGTTTTCAATATCAGCCTTTTTGGCACACCTAACACACACACCGAGCTGGTCGTTTCCAAAATGATTAGAAGAGGATACTAGGGATTCTTAGACTGCTACACATTACCTTTATGCTGCATGTCAAACCTCAGAAACACTGGGTTTAAAGACCATGAGCACCCTTTGGGTTTAAAGATCACATATGTGTATACAGTTCCATATATGCAATTCTCAGCCATTTTACGGTGCAGTTTTCAACTTAACTTAAAATGTTCAATAACAAGCTATGCTGTAATATGCTGAATGAACAGCAATTCAGTCTTTTAAACAAGCATTGTGGATAACAGACACCACATATCAGTTTACTTGATGTGCTAACCTAAAAATAAAGAAAAATGGAAATGCATCAAATGCATGTTTGGATATGAAAAAGCTACTAAATGCACTACTTATTCTGAAATGATTACTTTCCTATTTACACAGCCCAAAAATACTATCTTTTCCATGCAATATGTTTGAATCTTAACTTACTTAATCATCTTAGTAATTGATAGGTGTTAATTTAACTGGGTATACATGATACCAATTTATGAGAATGGTTCTTTTCTAAAACAACTGAACTCTTTGAAAGACAGAATTAAGTGTGCACAATTTCAGAATATACTTAACACTGCCCTTTATACTGCACTTGTGCCCAAAAGTGATTGACAATCAAACATTTGTCCAAACTCTGGTGTTGTTTACAGCATAGTGCTTCAATCACAGGGTACAGTAAAGAAAAATGTTGAACCAAGAATTAGGAAGTTGAGTGTCACACTCATCTTACATCCAATGATATTATAGGAGAATGCATTGTATTTAAGACATTACAAGGTTGCGTATTTCAAACTGACGAATCAACATCCAGAAAAAGCCTGCTACTATTAGCTACAAAGAATACACAAATTAGCCCTAAAGAGAGATGCACTGTGTAAACCATAAAATGCCACTCATAAGAAATTACACATGGCAGCAAAAACAATGAAAACCTACTATTCCCAGCCATACAACAACTCACCCAAGTATAGTAACCATCATAAGCAATACAGCGAAGCGTACAATTGTGACGCATACGAAACACATGGCATAGCAGCTCCCATCAGGAAGACGACAGCTACAAATGGCTCCAGAAAATTGACTCATTAGCATAAAATGATTTGAACGAACATAATCATCGCCACACCAACCTGAAAATCCGCCGATTCAACCTTGCAGAACTCGGGGCCAAGTCGCGACGTACACGCTGCGAAGCGACGTCCTTTGGGACCTCGCTACACAAATTCCAAACTAATTTGTGTTCTGAGATGACGCCATTGGTATTGATACGCCATTACAATGCACATTTCTGCCGTATGAACTGAGTAAATAACGTAAAACAACATGTTTCAAGATAATTTCAATCCAAATCAAGTGTTCTTTACCAAATTAGAAAGTATTCACATGCTTGGCGATGGCAAACACTGTGTGGACGTCATAATGTTAACAGCTGACAAAGTTTCTTAACCATGGCGTACCATCCGTTTTCAGTACTATAAAAGACCGCGCCGTGACAGGCAGAGAGGTTGCCGCAGCCAAGCCTTTGGGATAGTGGGTTGGGCATCATAAGCCTGGGGCGGGGCGTTGCCAATTTATTGCGGCCTTCTTGCCTGTCAACAGCTTCTTGCCGCTGTTGTATCCCGGAATTGACTGATAAATCTGACAAAGACAGGTATAAAGACTTCTCGGATGCTCATAAGTGTTCCGTGATTGTTTTGATGACAATTTGTGAGATTCTCGTCGGAGGTCTGGTTCAGACTAAAAATCGAAAGTTGCTAGCTGACAGTTGCTGAATGCATACCACATTTCCGTTTTTATGATTATATTGCATGTACATATATAATCCTAATTTCGAGAACACCAGGTCAGGATCATGACAAGGCTTCTAGGATGTGTGCTACCATGATGAGACTGTCCATTCCTCTAAACAGCTTAAGGCCGAAACATGTTGAGCTATGGTGCTGTTGTTGTTCAGTGCGTCTTGTGGCAGCAAAATGGTGAAATTCCAGACTGCTTAGAATAGGTGTTGCACTGAATATGCCTGTATTAACATCAGCATTGCGGGAACAACTCCAGAATATACCTTGCATACCTATGCTGGAAATTTGGTGTTGACTCATGGTTACAAACTGCTGTCATCTAGGAAGTGGCTTTTTCTAGGAATTAGGATAGCACAATTAAAATTTTAATCAATAATGCTTCAAAATTTGGTAAATAAGAAATTAATATGAAGGTTCAGAGCAAACTAGCATTCACTGTGTTTGGCACACATATAAAAAGCTGAATTCCTTAATGCCACTGAGATGTCCAGTCTGGTAAACTGACTTCTTGCAGGCTAGTTACAGTTGCAACCAAATGCATGTTATATGATGCACAGCATGCTCAAATTCAATGAAATCTTGTAAATGCACAAAATACTTGCCTCCATCTGATAATAAAATGCACACTCAGCATTGCAATTTTGTGATGAAGGGTAGTGTTCCATATTTGTCTGAGGTTTTGAACTGAAATGGCCATCTAGAAGATCATTTAGTGCAGCTTTCAGCTCTGCCCTTCATAAGACCTAAACCCCTCTGATTTCTGAGCAACATACCTGTGAAGATGTGCGGAATATTTCAAGGTTACCCAGGTATCTGTGATGACATGCCATTGAAATCTGGCCATTCTATTGGCCATGTGCTGATAAAAGCCCAGACAAATGTATTTGTTAAGTTGCTTTCATCTGACATTTTTTTAGCATAATTTCCTGATGTAAAAGCTGTTAATTGGATCTTAACCAATGTTGCATAGGATATGATTTAATCAAACAGTGACCTTTCAAGGAGCATATGGACTCAACAGAGAAATTATGTTGTCTAGAGCAATGTTGGGTACCCATTGTGTCTGTTTAAAACACACACAATGGGTGCCCCAGGTGCTACTTAAATTTTTGTTGTGATTGCACTATGTGCCAGAGAAATAGGGGATCCAGGGGATCATAGGGAGTGCCAGGGGATCACATCAACCACCCCTTCCCCCATCAAGACAAGTGCAAGCTTGTTTCATGTTTCCCATAGCCCGGGTGCTGAAGACAGGTGCTGTGTTCTGAGGCCATTCAAAGCCATCAATCACATTATAAGCTGTGTGAAATTAACATATCAGTTGCATCAAGTCAGCGGCAGACCATTTAGAAGAGAATGAAGTGACCGTGGCTGATGACTTTGACTGGATCCATTGATCACAATCCCCAACTTAGGAGGTTATAGTCATGCGTCAAAGTGTCATGATGTCACAAAACCATGTACACTTAAGAGTGGCTGTATACTCGCAATTATCATACTGTTATTTTCCATGAATTAAACACAAGGTATGAATCATGTTTTTGACATGCAACCCAGTACTTCAGGGAGAGAGAATTTCCAATCATTGTGGTTCATGAACAAAAACTTTTATGCCCTTGGTATGAGGAGTTGATTACTCTGCTCCAAGATGTTCCCATAGTCCAACATCCCCAGAGGAAACTGGTTATGAATGTACAACATTAATCTTGTAGGAAAGATCGCAAAGCAGCCAGAAAATGGCTTAAAATGTGTCCTACCACAGCCTCATTCAGTTCTTTGAGCATACAACTGAAGTCCCCTATCCAATGCACACCTATAGGTCACCGGAGGTTCTGAGATGCAACCACTTGCCCACCTCAACATGGTTCCATGTCTGGCACTTGGTAATCTGAGTGATACTGGGACAGTTTGTGGCCATCAAAGCTTGCTGTAGACTTTTCAGGATGACTGTGGGTGTTCAGCCTACAATGATCTGAGCTCCTCCCCATGCCTTTCTGCTGTACTAACCTTTGACTGAGATTTTCCTTTTCTCAACATACTATGGTAGCACTTATGTAATTTGTCCTCAAATAGTATTTGTGTCAGAGAATGTATTTACTAGGACAGCATCAGGATCGCAGTTGCCAAGTAAACAGACCAAATGGAGCTGAATCATACACACTGACATTTGATAGTTGTGTTTGAAGTGTAGGACAAATGGCCACTCTAAATAGTTGTGTTTGTTTTTGTTTCAGGATTCAAATATGAATGACAAGATGTTTGGTAAGTGTGACAATACTCATGTAGCAACATGACGCGATTTGGAAAATGTGCTGCACCCATTTTGTGGATAGCCACGCATGCGACACACTCTCAGAAAATGTCATGGTGCATGGGCTGCTAAAAGTATGGCTCTGATCTGGTGTTAGAGATGCCGAATGTGTGGAGTTGTGGCAGTCCCAGCCAGAATGCATTGTAAGAATCTTAGCCCATCCAGGGGAGTGCATAAGTTCCAATGTGTTTGCCATTAGGGCCATGTAGCCACAGAGAAGCCATGTTGTGGGGCTGCCCTTTGGGTGGAAAAGGCACCCTAGCTCGCCGTCTCACGCACTGGCTCTGGCATTCACAGAGACGATGTTCCAGCTGCGCTTCTGCGCCAAGCAGATGGAGCGCATGTCGAAGCGCGCCGAGAAAGACCAAAAGAAGGAGCAGGCCAAGGTGAAGCGGGCCCTGCAGGTGAGAACCGTGGACAGAGGGGCCTGCTGCAGCTAGCTGTCAGAGTTCTCCATATGGTGGTGGACTGACAGGGTCATGTTGCAGCTACGGTGGCCACAGTTGTGAGACGCCCCTGAGCGAGATATTTTCCAGTACTTGTATGCAGTACATATTCGTGCACTTGCGCATAACTGTGAGCATGAAACTGCCTGGAATTCGTTCGGCAGAAAGGCTCCGTGGAGAGCGCCCGGATCTACGCGGAGAACGCGATTCGGAAGAAGAACGAGAGTCTCAACTACCTGCGCATGGCGGGCAAGGTGGACGCGGTGGCTTCCCGCACGCAGAGCGCCATGGCGATGCAGGGGGTGAGCAGGATGCCGGGGTGCCGGCCGCCACAGCAGGGTCACGGCAGCTCAGACAGCTGGGTGGGGCAGGGCCATGGCCTGGTCTGTGTTCCCGATCCATCTTGCTGCATACTATTGTTATATTCCTGTTGCATAAGCAATATGATTTACTTTGTTTATAGTATCGCTAAATTTTCCGTTCAGTACATCTCCATAGCAAGTTGGTTTTATAGGAGGGGTAATTCTACCGCACCAGTGGGAATGTATGAAGGGTTTGTCTGTGATTTCATGCTTTTTACCTTGCATTATAAGTTATGGTTTATCTTCTTTTGGGGGCATGTAAGGGTGTTTTTTGTATTTTGAGAGATACTGATGTCCTTTTGTCACTGCTGGCAGTCATGTTCATAATTGATTTTAGTCATTTTTTTGTTTAAAAGCATTTTTATTAAGAGTCCCACAAGTGGCGTTCGCAAGATGCAGCTAATGCCATTCAGCAAGATCCGTTCAATATGTATGTGAAGTTGCCTTGTTATCTAGTCACGGGCGTTCCGCCACACTGCAGGTGCAGGCTTCACCTCTTACTATACTGACAGCTGACTGTCATGATCGCCATTGTGCGCGTGTAATCGTCACATTTGCCACCTACCGTAGCAAATAGTATGTCGATCACCCTGTTCGAAGTGCACATCTCATTAATTTTCCTCTAAGCCAGCAACATCTCGCTGGTCCTCACCGGAGTTGATAACCTGCCACCGATCATTGTCTTTGCGACAACGACCCGTTGGCCCTCACCCAAGTCGGCAGCGTCCCATTGGCCCTCACCCAAGCTGGCAGCGTCCCATTGGCCGCCACCCAAGCCGGCGGCGTCCCATTGGCCTTCACCCATGCCAGCAACGTCCCATTGGCCCTCACCCAAACCAGCAACGTCTCATTGGCCCTCACCCAAGCCGGCAACGTCCCATTGGCCGTCAAACCAGCCGGCAACGTCCCATTGGCCCTCTTCCAAGCCGGCAGCGTCCCATTGATTGACCCTCACCCAAGCCGGCAGCGTCCGATTGGCCCTCACCCAAGCCGGCAGCATCCCATTCGTCCTCTCCTAAGCCGACAATGTCCCATATGTTTCTCTCATACGTCTCATTGGCTCTCACTTCAGTTGACAACTCGATGCCCGACGCCTGATGCCCGATGCCCCATACCCGATGCCCAATGCCCAATGCCCAATGCCCAATGCCCGATGCCCGATGCCTGATGTGTGATGCCCGGTACCCGATGCCCGATGCCCGACTACCCGGGTATCGATGCTCACCGAATCCAGCCATCGGCCATCGACCTTCTCCTGAGCTATAACACTCCGTTGCTGCTCTTGACCTATGCTGACAATGCCTCATGGGCCCCAGTAAAGCCTCAACAGCTGACCATCCGCATCGGTCTTCTCCCAAACTGACAGCCCGTCATCCTCATCAGCCGCCATGCTAATCAACATCCCCCATCCCCACCAAAACTGACGACGTCTCATGCGCGCTCTCGTGCGCCCCAGGTGACCAAGAACATGGAAGGCGTGGTGAAGAACCTGGACAAAGCTCTCAACTCGATGGACATTGAGAAGGTGTCGTCGGTGATGGACAAGTTCGAGAAGCAGTTCGAGGACTTGGACGTTCGAAGCAGCGTAAGGAGAATTGCGCTGCGCCGGCGAAGTCGCCGTCGCCCTGCGTAGCCCCAATATGGTCAGGCTATTCCCGGACGGGCCACAACTGGATGTAATGATCGCATCTCCTGGCTGACGAGATTGACTAACATTTTCCCGCGCGCTTGCGTGGCATATGCCATACAACGTTGTCCTCCGAGCGCTACGTCGTCTAATAACGTCATGCTTGTTTCCGTGGTGCAACGAGTCTAACGCTCCAGCTATATATGTGACTGCTGCGTTGTCTGACGCGGCGTGTTCTCCCTGTGCAGGTCCTGGAGGACGCCATGGGCTCGACCACCGCCACCTTCACACCCCAGGGCCAGGTCGATTCGCTGATTCAGCAGGTGAGGGAACTACATAGTCGGCGGCAACGGCCACCGAGCGGGGACCGAGAGCAGTCTGCGGATGGTACTCCAGCGAAGCGGCGAGCAATTGGCGCTGTGTTTTATTGCTGCTCTGCTTTCTGGCGAGTTTTTTTTTGTCTCCAGTCGCTGCGTTGGTGCAAATGGCTGTCCGTCATTGTTTTTTTTGTTGTATGGATGCACATGACCCCAGTCATACGCATATTCAAAGATCGTCATTTTTAAATTGTTTCAAAGGGCAGTGTGTGCCGTGGGCAGAGCAGACACGAAAAACCGAATAGTCATGCTGCAGAAGGGCAGTGTGTACCGGGGACAGACCAAACACGAAGAACCGAATAGCCGTGTTGCAGAAGGGGCAGCGTGTACCGGGGACAGACCAAACACGAAGAACCGAATAGCCGTGCTGCAGAAGGGGCAGCGTGTACCGGGGACAGACCAAACACGAAGAACCGAATAGCCGTGCCGCAGAAGGGCAGTGTGTACCGGGGACAGACCAAACACGAAAAACCAAATAACCGTGCTTCTGCAGCACAAGTCAAACATATTGTGCAATGCAAGCTCATGCAATGTTGTTGATTTGCCAACGCTTAGGAAAATACGGAACGGTGCTGGTATTTATGTCAGAGATACGGCACCCGGAATCTCGAAGCTGTTACGCTCCGGTCACAGGACCACGATGCAGAGTCCGAGAGCGGGTGCCAACGGCCACCGGGTGTGTCAGTGGCCGGGCCGCCTGGCGGTGCCCTGTTGCAGGTAGCGGACGAGGCCGGCCTGGAGGTGTCCGGACAGCTGGGTGGCGTCTCCATCCCGACCTCTATCGGAGAGCGCAGCGCCGCACAGGAGGACGATCTCTCCAAAAGGTGCGCCTGCGATTTGCCGGCCGCTCGCACGTGATGGTGGTCGGGCTCGTGATCCGCCATACCGGTAGTGCGCGGTAACTTGGGTGCCTGCTCGGGTATTTTAGACCGGTTTTTCATCAGAGGGGGTACTTATGGGTACGAGTAAGAAGCTGTGACTAGACGTAATAGGCGTAATCTTGAAATTGTGTGTTCTTATTTGTGTTCCGAAGTCGCATAAGTGGTCAGTTTGGGGCTGTATTTGGGAAGCTAAACAAAGGAAATGCTCTCCGCCAATGCTTGTTGAATAGTGCTTCTGAGTAGAGACGAGAGTAGGCTGGTGCCTTCTGAGTAGAGACGCAGGTGGGCTGGGCATTTAGGTCACGTGACAATGCGAAGCGTTTTGTGTACTAGCGGCGCATATTTCTCATGCTGAACTGAGGCTTGGTGGATGGAACTCGAGCATGCGCATCAGTGTGCGTGTGTGTGTGAAAAATTGTTGTGGCAATGTATGCCTTTATAAAAAAATGTTTTTTATCGAAATTGCCGGGAAATTTTGTTTCACCTGAAACAGTGCGGAAGGGAGGGACGATGGTTCAGTCTGCTGCAAGACCGTCATCACTGTCAGGCAGTGCACGCGCGCATGTGACTGCTGAGGTACAGGCGTCACCGCCCCCTGTCGGAGCAAGGGCCAGCGGAAGGTCCTTGTGGAGGGAGCTGAGCTCGTACGCCTCATTCTGGAGCCTAAATTAGTACGGATGGGCCCTGCTACATGCCCCCCCCCCCCCCCTCCAAACACATACGACGTCCGGCTTGGACGCCCACGAACCGGGGACTTAGCCGCGCTCACTGACATGACACCTGTGTCTGAGGCTGAGCCGTACTCTTGTCAGATATATGTAGGGGCGCTCGATGACCGTGCTCTCCTGTCGTCAGGCTGGCGGCGCTGCGTGAGTGAGGCGACGCCCTCCGGACGGCCGAGTCCTGCTCGGCCGGAGGCTGCTCCTGACCCGGCCCCGTTCGGACCGGGGTCGCCTGAGCTGCACCTGCCGGCCAGGAGCTCCTGATTCGACCACTATCGCTGCGCGCTGATGATGTACGACCCTGTTCGCGCTCGCGGCCGATGGCGGCTGCTCGGGCGGAAGGGAGACCGCCTGATCCAGCCGCCGCTCCGGTGGAGACCGTCCGATCCGGACGGTGCTCGGAGGCGGGCGCGTGATGCGAAGGTCCCTGCTTCGACGAGGAGCGCGTGAAACGCGTTCTCCTTGGTCCTGATGCAGAAAGGACCTCCCGGAGGAGCGCACATGCCGCCTTCGTGTTCTTTGGACTAACCTGGGCGTTGTGGCAGGTCGAATGAGACGCTCCGCGCAGGTCACGTGACCATTAATTTAGTGTGAACGGAGTCTGCGCGAGTTGTTAGTTTGCTGCGTACGTCACATGTGCGGGTGATGCCTGCATGCTGGGAACTTCTCCCAGCTTGCACTTGCTTTTTTGCACGCTAAGCTCCGCAGTCAGGTTATGGTGTAGGCTCGTGCTTGCCGTGTCTGGGGATCTGTCAGCAATCAGCTCTGAGCCCGTCCCAGGTCCAGCATCCCCCCCCCGTCCCCCTGGACCGGACCTTTGGAAGCGCTGAACTCTGGCCAATGAGGGCAGCCAGCTCGAAGTGACGTAGGTCGTTATCGGACATCAAGCCATTGTTAGCACTTATTCTATAATACATACTTCTATTGTAAATGTATTTCCGCATCCAAGGAAAGTGACGCTGGTCTGCAGTCTAGCAGCCGCTCGTCGCGGACTGGAGGGGACGACATCTGACTTTGGAGTGAGTGGTCGGCTCGATTGCGAGGGATTCCATCCCCTCGCATCCAACCACTGCGATCAAACCCTGAAACGGATCGTTGCTGCCTGTCCGTTTGTCGAAAATCCTGGTCAACGCTTTCGTGGACCGCAGAAGAGCAAGGCCAATGCTCCGGGCACCATTCGAGCCCTGTGAGGCTACGTTTTAGTCCCTCGCAGGATGCTTAAATGGACTGTTTCACATTTGTGGGGGTGGGGGTGGGGGGGTTGAACTGAAATAGCCATCGAGATCCTTCGGTGTAGCTCACAATCCTGTCCTTAAGACCTACACCCCCCTCGCTACTTTCTTAGCTACACGACCGCGAGAATGCGGAGTCTTCTTCGGGGAGACTATTTCAAGGTCGCCCAGGCATCAGTGACTAATAACATCATTCAAATCCTGTCATTTCATTGGCCACGCGCCGGTCAAGGCCAATAAAACACAATGTCGATTCGTTCATATCCGGCGTTTGTGAGCGCGATTTCCAGATATAAAAGCCGTCCTTGAGCTATCAATAAACGTTGTGCAAGGTACGATAACGTTATCAAACAATGACGCCTTAAGGAGCATACTAAGTAAACAAAGAAATTGTGATATCTAGAGCAGCCTCCCACTTAGAAGTATTCAAAAAATTGTAAGTGAATGTATTTCATTATACCTGATGCTCGCTTCAATATCTTCAAACGTGGAAGATTCCCTGTAAGCGTGAACGACGTGTATGTCTGCTCCATGAGCGTAAATGAATGCTGAATTATGAGTGAGCGCCAATGTCTGATGCAGCCACAAACTGGACTGGGCTCCATGCGGTGGACGCTCAACAGTCTTACACCCGACCAATGATCAGTATCAGATCAGTATCCAATGATCGTACATTCATAGAGCTTGCCTGAAGCCCTGCGCACTCTGAACTCACATGCGCTAAATGCTGTGTGAATGAGCTGGTCCACAGGAAGCACCTCCGCTGTGCCAGAATGCGCAGGCACCACCGTCAGCGTGGCTGGCATTTAACCGTGTCAGCCAGAGGGTGGGCGAACAGAGGGCACCAAACGCCGAACCGAACTTAAAGGCCGGCTTCAGCGGGTGAAGCCGCAGACGGTACCTACAGGGAAGAAGCCATCTGCTGAAGCCGGCGCCCGGTGCGCGATCGGCCCGGCTCGCGGCCATCGCCCGCTTTCAGGTCTTCTGCGCGGAGCTGCACGGCGCGGCCGAGAGCCAGTCGTGCTCCCACGCCTCGTAAGAGTCGTCTCATGCCGCTCCTCCTGGACGTGGGGTTCGTGTTCAGCCAAGGGGATGCGGCTGCCTTCTCCATCACCCAGACCAGCATGTGGGACCGCGAGCTCTGCAGCGTGACCGTCGGTGACGAACAGGCGCGTTTGATAGCGATGCACGGGCCCAACGAGGGGCTGGAGCGCTTCACCGGAGGCGGCGGCCAAGTTCCAAACGTTGGAGTACGGTACGTGGTCAGGCGATCGTCGCCCAAGTGCGCTTCCTCGACACTCTGGCGACCGCGCTCTCCGCATTTTCGACCTGTCTTTCGAGCTGGTAGAGTATTCGGCGCGGGTGCCGCTTACCTTGTGCCCGGCTGTACCCGATGCGGTTACTTTCGCTCGTGATGGGCCTACCCCTGCGGCACAGCTCGCACCGGACATCATGAGAGTCGTGGATGTGATCGGGTTGACCACGTCGCCCCCACATCCCTCATCCTGCCGCCGGTTATGTGCATACCTCCGACTGAGCGCAGCCGGTCAAACCTGGGTATGCGGACCGTGGCACGTCGGTCGAGGGCATCATGGACTTGCGTTTCGAGGGCAGACATTGTCACCGTGACTGCCGCGGTGATTCATATGACTGATCTTATGAACAATCTCCACATTCTTGAGGCTAGTGAGCTCATCGGGAAAGTCTTCAACTTTGATTAAAACATGACTGATGAGCTGAAATGCGTGCGCGCTACGAGAAATGAACTACAGACAATCTGTGACTTTCCATATTTAGTATTCAAAGGTCAGTATTCTTCAAGTACTTCACCTTTTTTAGAAGAAGAAAAATCTCCACCGCGAGCGTTTTACGCGCAGTGTGGCACGGGCTCAACCAGCTCGCGTTAGCAGGATTGCCCGACTTTGAAATCATACAATCCAAACGACATCTTTAGCACCAAAAATAAAGAGCAGGCAATTAGCATTGTACACTACGTCGTTTCGACCACTGCTACTCACAATGCTCGCATGATTGCCTATCATCTTCAAGAAATAACCATCTGATAATATAATAATTTCGGCAACAAACAGGTCATATGATTTTTAACACGCAGACAGCCGACGATTTATAGCATGTACTAAAAGGGCAACATAAGTACCAAATTACGTACATTCGAGCAATTAAGAAAAGTATCCCAGTTCTTCACATTCGTGTCTCGAATTGATATTTCCAAACAGACAGCACAGAGAAAAACCCAACAATGTCGGCGGAACTGAAGCATTTCCAGCAGTCTTAAAAAACGGACCAAGCCACGGGAACCAAACACCGAAGCCAAGCCAACGTTTTCGGTACGGTACATTGACGTCTATTAGCGCAGTGCATCTCATACACGAGTCCGGATAATGTGATTCACACTTATTAGGACCAAACACATCGTGACGACATTGTCGCTTAAACTACAACACTTGGATTCAATTAATATGACTACTCCGTTTGCCGTGACATGCTGCCATCATGTCGTGCAGAGGGACTGTCGTAGTACCCTCTTAAAGTAGTGCACCTCCTGTACAATTCCAACGAGCAAGGCTTGAAATCGCTCTGACATCCAGAGACATACTCTGCCGAGATAATATGCCAACAGCCACCCTAAGGAAACGGATCAAGCCTCGGGAAACGAAGACTGAAGCAAGGCCAGCGTTTCGGTACGGTACATATACGTCTATTAGCGTAGTGCACCTTACACACGAGTCCGGATCATGCGATTCACACTTATTAGGACCAAACACATCTTGCTGACGATGTCGGTGGATATGCCAGACCACGGTCCGATGAACAAGACTCATGCATTGCCGTCAGATGTTGCCATCATTGGCGGACGGACTGCAGTAGCACCCTCTTCAAGTAGTACACCTCTGGTATAATTCCAATTGGCGGGACCTAAAAACCGTTCTGACATCCAAAGACATACTCTACCGAGATAATATGCCAATAAAAATCCTAAGGATACGGACCAAGCCTTGGAAACGAAGACTGAAGCTAGGCCAGCTTTTTCGGTACGGCACATATGCGTCTATTAGCGCAGTGCACCTCATGCACGAGTCCGGATCAGGCGATTCACACTTATGGAAATTAAACACATCGCGCTGACAATGACGGTGGAACTGCGAGACTTCGGTCCGATGAATAAGACAGATGCATTGCCGTGAGATGCTGCCATCATGTGCGGACAGGCTGTAGTAGCACCCTCTTAAAGTAGTACACCTCTTGTATAATTCCGATTGGCGAGGCCTAAAAACCACTCTGAAAGGCAAAGACACACCCCGCCGAGATAACATCCCGACACGAACCCTGAGGAACAAAGCCAAGCCCCGGGAACCGAGGACCGAAACAAAGGCAACGGTTTAAGTACGGTACATATACGTTTAGTCGTACGGTGCACCTGAAACAAGAGCCCTTCTTACTAAGTAGAAATAAACACATTGTGCCGACAATGTCGGTTGAGCCGCAATGGTTTGATTCAATGAATAAGACTCATGCACTGTCGTGGGATGTCACCATCATGCGCGGACAGACTGTAGTAGCACCTTCTTAAAGTAGTGCGCCTCTTGCATAATTCGTTGACGAGACCTAAAAACGGCTTTGTCATCCAAAGACACACTGTACCGAAATAACGTGTCAACAGCAATTCTAAGGGAACGGACCAAGCCCCGGAAACCGAAGACCGAAGCGAGGCCAACGTTTTCGGTACGGTACATATATATTTATAAGCGCAGCGTACCTTATACCATCGTCAGCAAGATGTGTTTAGTCCTAATAAGTGTGAATCGCATGATCCGGACTCGTGTGTGAGGTGCACTACGCTAACAGACGTATATGTACCGTACCGAAAACGCTGGCCTTGCTTCAGTCTTCGTTTCCCGGGGCTTGGTCCGTTTGCTTAGCGTGGCTGTTGGCATATTATCTCGGCAGAGTACGTCTTTGGATGTCAGAGTGGTTTCCAGGTCTCGCCAATTGGAATTATACAAGAGGTGTACTACTTGAAGAGGGTGCTACTGCAGTCCGTCCGCCAATGATGGCAACATCTGACGGCAATGCATGAGTCTTATTCATCGGACCGAAGTCTTGCATATCCACCGACATCATCAGCAAGATGTGTTTGGTCCTAATAAGTGTGAATCGCATGATCCGGACTCGTGTATGAGGTGCACTACGCTAACAGACGTATATGTACCGTACCGAAAACGCTGCTTCGTTTCCCGGGGCTTGGTCCGTTTTCTTAGGGTGGTTGTTGGCATATCATCTCGGCAGAGTATGTCTCTGGATGTCAGAGGGATTTCCGGCCTTGCTCACTGGAATTGTACAAGAGGTGCACTACTTTAAGAGGGTGCTACGACAGTCCCTCTGCACGACATGATGGCGGCATCTCACGGCAATGCATGAGTCTTATTCATCGGACCGACGTCTTGCATTTCCATCGACATTGTCAGCACGACGCGTTTAGTTCTAATAAGTGTGAATCGCATTATCCGGACTCGTGTGTGAGGTGCACTACGCTAACAGACGTATATGTACCGTACCGAAAACGCTGGCCTTGCTTCAGTCTTCGGTTCCCGGGGCTTGGTCCGTTTGCTTAGGGTGGCTGTTGGCATATCATCTCGGCAGAGTATGTCTCTGGATGTCAGAGCGATTTTCGGCCTTGCTCGTTGGAATTGTACAAGAGGTGCACTACTTTAAGAGGGTGCGAAGACAGTCCCTCTGCACGACATGATGGCATCTCACGGCAATGCATGAGTGTTATTCATCGGACCGACGTCTTGCATTTCCATTGACATTGTCAGCACGACGTGTTTAGTTCTAATAAGTGTGAATCGCATTGTCCGGGCTCGTGTGTGAGGTGCACTACGCTAACAGACGTATATGTACC